TGTAAAGGACAGACTGTCTTCTTGTCCCTTGTGTCTTCCTCCTGAGTTTGAACCTTTAAGGGTTTTTTTTACCAGGTGTATATATTATTTATTTCCTCTGTTCCTCAGTCTTCCTGTTTGTTGACTAGTGTACTGCACCCTCCTCAGACTCAGGTGAGGATATATTATTTCACTGCTCTATGAATATCAAATAACACCAAATATCTGGAATCAAGAGCAGCAGAAGAAGCAGCAGCTTTATTTTCAGGCTGGACTGAACCATGAATATCAAATGAAGGAAAGTATCAGGATTCAAAACAGCAGCTTTATTTTTTTGCAGTTTGAAATCACCTCTGACCACTGAACCAAAACCTCTTAGTTTAACTCAAACCTCCTGCTATCAGCGTGCCAGGAAACATAGGGAATATAACACAAGGAATAACATGAAATAAAGAAGTGAAACTGTGTGAGGCTGTAATGACGTCTGAGGAGAGGAACAACTGACTCCCAGTGATGAGTAATAACTGTGTCTGTAATTATCCCACCCCTGATGACCAAATACATTTCACCAAACACTGGATATTTGCTAATATTAGTCCTTGGTGAATTTCCAATTCAGTCACTCGGGTTGTCTGTGGTAGATAATGTGGAGGCCACAGTGGGAATGATTAATGAGAGGGGGGGTTGTAGCAGGGAGGACAGGATAGGAGGAACTAATTACTCAGGCAGCTCCTTTGGAAGCCTGCTCGAAAAGATGTGTTCTCATTTGCAGGTTATAGCATCGTCAGTAAATTCTTATAACTGGATGAGCTGATGCTCTGACTTTTATTTATGTGTCTAAAACAAAAGCAAAACTCACCTTGGCAACATTACATCGTCTGAATTTGGGAACACTGTTTTCACTGGTTGGGTCGTGGTAGCAGCAGGTAGCAAGCAAAGTAATCCAGACTTCCGTCTTCCAAGCAACGTTTTCCAGCTCCTCCTGGGGTATCCCGAGGCGTTCCCAGACCAGATGAGATATATAATCTCTCCAGTGTGTTCTGTGTCTACCCCGGAGGCTTCCTTCCAGTTGGACGTGCCTGGAAGACCTCCACTGGGAGGCATGCAGGAGGCATCCTGACCAGATGCATGAACCACCTCAACTGGTTCCTTTCGAGGCAAATGAGCAGCAGCTCCATTCCAAGCTCCCTCCGGATGTCAGAGCTACTCACCCTATCTCTGACGCTGAGCCCAGACGCCCTGCAGATGTGCTTGCATCCACAATCTCGTTGTTTCAGTCACTACCGAGAGCTCATGACCACAGGTGGGGGTCAGAACAAAGATTGACTGGTTAGTCAAAAGTTTTGCCGTCCAGTACTATGGCCTCTTTACTCTTTACCGATCCACCTGTTCATCTCCTGCTCCATTCTCCCCTCACTCGTGAACAAGACCCAGAGATATTTGAAAAGTCCTCTACTTCGGGCAGAAAATCCATCCCAACCTGAAAAAAGCAGTCCAGCATTTTCCAGCAAAGCAAACCGCCCCCAGTGCATGTTGAAGGTCCCGGTTTGACCAGGGCAACAGAACCACATCGTCTGCAAATAACAGGGAGTGAATTCTGAGGCTCTCAAACCGGACACACTAAGTAGGATCCCGTAGATCCCCAGAGGGACCCAGTCGTAAGCCTCCTCTAAGTCCACAAAGCACATGTAGACTGGATGGGTAAACTCCCATGATGTAACCTTGCCAGGGTCAAGACCTCGACGAAGAAGGTGGATGGATGGATGGATTTTCACTGTTTTTCTGAACAACATGAGAACAGTTAAATTTCTTCTTCTTCTCCTTCTTCAGAAAACAACAAAACTTCTCACCCATTTCCTCTGATGAGGAATGAGACAGACTAAAAAAGGAAAATCATTATTTCATGGTCGAAATCTGATAAAATCACATGAACAAAGGTTAATGACAACATCTGTATCCTGATGTTTAAAACACAATGACGTGGGCATAAAATTAAACTAAATGAGCTGAGCCTTTAGTCCACTGAACATTTAATCATGTCTTGCTGTAAATAACTTTCATACTCAGGTCATGGAGCTGATGAAAAACTTTATTCACAGACATTAAGGTTCTAGTTTCTGACCTGCAGAGTCCAGAGCTGGACGTGGACTCGCACCGACTGTGACCCAGACAGAGACAGAAACATAATCCTGCAGGTTTGGGTCAGGGGTTTTAGTCTGGTCTCAGGTCAGTTTTTAGGTCAGTTTCATAACGAGACTGTGAACTGGATTACTGACAGTGTTGGGCTGAACGGAGCCAACAGCTGGACCGCTCTTCCCCAGTCCAGATGTCGGGTTCATCATCTGGTCCAGAAACTAATGTTGGGTCAGATCCTTCATTCTCAGTCTCACTGTTTATTTATAATGGTATCACGATCAGAATCATGATTAATAAAACTACTGATAATTATCTGATCTTATTTATTCATATGTAATATTTCAGAAATACAATTTTAGGTGTTTATCCATATAGTGACATCATCTTAGTGCTATAATACAATATAAAAACACAAACAGCCACTTACATTCACTTACTCTGAAAATAAAAGAGGCTGTGATGAAAGCTCATGTTGCAAAAGCTGCATTAACATTAGACCACATTAAAATCACAATGCAAATGTATGAGGTCAGGCAGAGTGTGAGCAGAGCAGCAGTATCAGATATCAGATAATTTAACTGTACAAATGCAGACAGGTGAACAGAAAACTACGGTGGCCCTAAAGCTCAACACAGTGCATCTTAAGAAATCACATGAATCAGATGAAGATGTCAGGTTTATACAGAGTTCATCTGTCACTGAGCTGCAGATCCCTCCGTCCTAAATACTCACATCAGCAGGATTCAGTTCACATAGTGAAACATAATGTTTAGTTACTATCAGCACAGAGTTCTGCAGGAATGAGTCCTAACACCTTGAAATTAGTTGCATTTTAGCACTTCCTGTTTCCTCATCCTGAAGTCTGGTAACACCTTGAAGGAACTTCTTCAAATTTGGTACAAACATTTACTTGGACTCAAGGATGAACTGATTAGATCTTGTTGGTCAAAGGTCAAGGTGACCTCACAAAACACTATTAAGCCATAAGATATCACTGTTACTAACTTTGTAAGAGCAAAGGCTTTTGTAGAAGATGAAACGGTTAAATCAAACTACAAGTTGAAGTTTGGTGGTGGTGATGTTGAAGTCATGTGACCGTGTAGTTGGTTTATAGCCTAACATTAGCTTTTTACTTCTAGTGATTGTGTTTAGGCTTCAAACATCATAAAGCGGTGTTCATTAGTGAAGATGAGCCTGCTGAACAAAATGTGTCAGTCATGAAATTTTGTTTGTTTTAGAGTTTATTTTATGTAATAGTCCAAAAGACAATGGAAAAACCAGGGGAACCAGGTTGATTCTAACTTCAGGGTTGTGCTACAAAGATACGTCATCGCTGCAGCACTCTGTTAACTGTGGTTTACACTGCTCCCTCATTGAAGAACCTGTTAGAAAGAATGAATGTGGAGGCTTAAAAGAGGTGGATTTGTTTTTTTTAATCTAGCGACACTAGTTTATCATTTAAGAGGTGAAAAAGCGAGTTATTGTGTTAGATCCCAAGTGGATTTTCTCCTTCAGTCAGACGTCGACAGTGAAGACGTTTTAATTAATGTGCTGCAACGAAACATTAGTCGTATTTAATCCAGGAGGAAACTGTGTGTAAAGTCTTCTTTTAGTTCAACATCCAGATTCAGGAAGTGAAACGTGTTGTATTAATAATAAGAACATGTGTCACCAGCAACTGTCTTTGGTCGGCTCAAGTTACTGAGGAAATGTCCGAAACATGAGCTGAGGCTCAGCAAAAACAAGACTAAATAAAGTACAAAAATATATAGAAGAAAAAAGAGACTAAAGTTTGACCTTTAGCTATACCAAGTAATGTTGTAATATATATATTATATATATAATTTTATATAGAGCTGCACAGACCTCGACAGGTCAGCTCCTCAGTTGAGTCCCAGAATAAAAACTAAAAGAAGGAAATGAACATGATGGATCCTTTAAGATTGTGTGGTGCTGATGTGAGTCCACTAACAGATCCATGTCCACTGTCATCCTCGCACGCACGCACACACACGCACATGCACGCACACGCACTCACTCACTCACAGAGAGAGAGAGAGTAAGAGAGACATGGGCCTCTCTCCCTCTCTCTCAGCAGGTTGTGTGTAATCTCAGTCTATTAACAGCTGGAGCCACAAGACCACTTAAACATGAGAGCTCCACCACCAACCACACACACACGCATACACACACACACACGCATACACACACACACACACACACACACGCACGCATACACACACACACACATACACAGAGAGAGAGCTACCTCACTGTGTGTGAGCACTGAGCCTCCTCTGTTTTGATTACTGGATAATTTGCATGACGCACCCTGCTGAGGGCTCACACTCACACACACACACAGACACAAGCACACATGACAGATGAACACATCACACACACACACACACACATTCCTGCTGTGTTTTTTGTCAGTGTGACTGATAGGATTTCGGTGTTTTATTACCAGGGAAACAAAAGACTGCAGCTAATAACTGGTGTGTGTGTGTGTGTGTGTGTGTGTGTGTGTGTGTGTGTGTGTGTGTGTGTGTGTGTGTGTGTGTGTGTGTGTGTGTGGCAGAGACACACTGTCACACTCTCCTGAAGTCATTTGGACCAAAAATCCTGCAGCGTTTTTTATTTTTTCCTCGGTCTCGCCCTCACACAGGAAATAAACTCACAGCTCCACTCTCTGACTCCTGGTGACATTTCACCCAGACTCTCCTGCAGTAATAATAATAATATCATGTTTGCCTCAGTAGCAGCAGAACAATCTGGATAGTCTGGTTCTTCATTTCTGGTGCCAAAATATCTCAACAGCTCCGATTTCAGTGGAGCTTTCTGCAGATATTCATGTGCCTCTCTGGCTGTTTGTTTTTTTTCAGACGTTGAGAATCCACGGGAAGAAGCAGTTGATTGGTTGATCTTTCAGGGAGGTCGGGGGTCGAAGGCCATGGCGGGCCGACTCCTCCTCTTCCTGATCGTCTCGGTGACGCTCGGCAGCGCTCACTTCCAGTCCGGCCAGCGTCTGAAGCCCCGCCTCCAGAGAGACCGACGCAACATCCGGCCGAACATCATCCTGATCCTGACCGACGACCAGGACCTGGAGCTGGGTGACTGAAACACAGCTACTGACACACTATTAGTGTTACTACTATTACTATTATTACTTCACACTTGATACTACTAATGTTTTTACTATTAATAACACTGATACTATTAATAACTTTTGCTGAGCCCTGCCCCCGTTAGCGACTGTTGCTATGCCTCTAATGTCTCTGAGGATTTAGATCAAACTTAAATAAAATTGAATCATTTAGAATAAACCTGGACAAACAACAGAGATCAGTGATTGGTTCTTTCTGTCTGGCTGGCCAACTGAACGTGCTGCTGCCCATCGTTAACAGAATCATAAAAGTTGGCAACACTGAATCTAATGCTTGACAGAACTGCCGTCCGTAGTTATGGTTGATTGGACAACATTTGAGGGGAGGGGTTTAGTGAATAATAAGTTATGTATAATATAGTCAGAGCAGTTGTGTGTGCTAACAGTCTCTCTCTCTGTAGGTTCGATGCAGGCCATGAATAAAACTCGCCGCATCATGGAGGAGGGCGGGACTTCTTTCTCCAACGCCTTCGTGACCACGCCTATGTGCTGTCCATCACGTTCAAGCATGCTCACCGGGAAGTAAGTCCCTGAAGACGAATGTTTTATTCATACTTTATTCAATCTTTTTTTTTTTGTCTCTGGCAAGTGCGATACTAATTTTACACTTAAAATAAAAATGTAATTAAAAAGACTAATTTGAATTTAAATGATGTTTTTTAAACCACCACCGCCCACTGACACCAGTCTGAAGATAAACTCTCTCTGTTCTCCAGGTACGTCCACAACCACAACACCTACACCAACAACGAGAACTGCTCCTCGTTGTCGTGGCAACGGCAGCACGAGCCACGGACCTTCGGGGTCTACCTCAACAACACTGGATACAGGACAGGTAGAGGAGCGTTTGCACGCATGCACACACACACACACACACACACAAAAGGCTTTCATTAATAATGTGGTTCTCCTGATTGATTCACCTCTCTGTTTGTGTGTGTGTGTTTCTGTGTCTTTGTCTGTGTGTGTGCGTGTGTGTGTGTGTCCTCTGCAGCCTTCTTTGGGAAGTACCTGAACGAGTATAACGGCTCCTACGTCCCAGCTGGGTGGAGGGAGTGGCTCGGCCTGGTGAAGAACAGCCGCTTCTACAACTACACAATGAGTCGCAACGGAGTCCGAGAGAAACATGGAGCGCAGTACCCACAGGCAGGGACACAGACACACACACACACACACACACAACCACACACACACACACACACACACACACACACACACACATACACACACACACACACACGCACACACACTTGTTTTTCATGGGTAATGCTTTCCACCAGCTGTTAACAGTTTCAACAACTGAGAAAACATGTAAGACATAAATATGTCAGATATATAGAAATGTACAAAATTATAACAAATTAAACCAAAGAGGCTGGAGACAGAAAATTGCAAAAAATAGCAAATAACAAGTTAGAAATTGTAAAAATGTGATGGTTCAAGTTAGTAACACAGTAACATCTGCATTTGTTGCTTTTTATTTTAGACCAGTGGTCCCCAACCTTTTCCAACTCATGGCCCACTTGAAAATCTCAAAAATGTTTGCGGCCCACATCCGACCCCTAACGATACAGAGGCCGAATAATGCTCAGAGCACTATTTATTTTGATGATAACAATCAAAGGTTAAGGACTGAACTAAAAACGGGAAGCTCAATTTTTCTTTTTCGTGGAAAAGAGGGGAATCACTTGTCGATTCAATATCTGTCTCCTGACTCTCTTTCCTTTTAATTCTTCTATCCATTTTGATTCTCCAGTTTTTGCCTTGGATGTCACCTATTAGGGCGTAATCAGACTGAGCTAGCAAACAAGTAAACAATGGTCTGAGTTTTTATACATTTTTAATGTTTTTACAGATCATTTTCTTATTAATACATATAAAAAAACAATTATATTTTTATTTTTATTATAATTGCATCTTTCAACAAAACCTTTCTGTTTTGCAAACGATTTGTCGGCCCATTTGCAACACCGTCACAGCCCACAGGTTGGGAACTTCTGCTTTAGACAATTTAAGGCAACATTAAAAAAAATCTTTCCTACTGCAGGTACAAGAACATAGAAAAATAAAAAAAGATAAATGTTTTTGACTTGCGTCCATCTCTTGATCCAAGTGCCCTGCAGTCTCTACATGTCAGCATTTCATTTGAATTAAAGTGTTTATTCAAACTAAAGTAAATTTTTGTTCCTTCATCTATGGCATGTGCTGTATGTTGAATTATGTTGGAATTAAAAGTGCTAAAAAAAAAAGTGCTGGAATTAATTAACTGGAAATGTTTTAATTGAATCTCTTTTATCTATAATTAGTTCCAAATCATATTTTACTCTCCATTAAACTTCTCAGAAATAATCAGAATATAAAGACATCAGAATATTTTTGATGCACATACATTTATTTCAGTCATATAAATATGTATATATAAATATATACATATTTATATATGTATACTCATATACTGAATATCTGATATAAAATGTTGGTTGTTGTCAGTAGCAGAAACACATCATGGCTGAGAGGTGTGTGTTTGCTCTGTGGAAACCAGGAGGAAAAGTAATAATAAAACTGTATAATAATATCCAGCTCTGTTTGTGTGTTGCCAGGACTACCTGACTGACCTGATCACAGCCGAGTCCATCCGGTACTTCCGCTCCTCAAAGCGGGTTTACCCTCACCGCCCGGTCCTGATGGTGCTGAGCCACGCGGCTCCACATGGACCTGAAGACTCAGCTCCGCAGTACAGCACCGCCTTCCCTAATGCATCGCAGCACATGTAGGCCTGCACCCACACACACACACACACACACACACACACACACACACACACACACAATAAGCCTAAACCACACTGTAATCCAGCTGAACAATAGAGCAGCTCTGTTCTGCACTGCAGGATAAATCCTGAAGCAACACGACTAAAACGACACAATCCCCTCTAATATCTGTGTGTGTGTGTGTGTGTGTGTGTGTGTGTGTGTGTGTTCATTAGTTATTTCTCATTGAACCTGATGTTTTAAAATGTTACTGACGTTAACGTCCGCCTCTAAGTCCTGCGTCGAAGTCTTTGTTCGACTGTTTGTTAGCAGACAGAGACAAACTGAGACGTCACCTCGGTGACAGCCGCTCTTCTGCCTCCCAGTCAAATCTTTTTCATCCAGCAGATGCCTGAGGAAGCGTCGGCTGGACTCCCGCTGTCAGGAGACCATATAAATCCTGTTTAAGCTCACCGGGCTTTTTGTGAAGATTTTTCTATTTCTGTAACAGAAATACTGAGAACAGACAGTAATCCCTCTGCTCTGAGGAGAATAATGAGACAAAGTCAGTCCACACTAAATGCTGACACACCGTCGTCATCAACATCTGACAGCTCGAGTTGATTCAGTTTTATCCTTCAGCACAAAACATAGTATTTAACATTTACAGTGAAATCAGAAACCAAGAGGCCGGAGGAGAAGTCTCAACTGGAAACATGAGATTTAGACTCTCACTGTTTCACTCATATTCATTTAGAACAGATGTTCAGTTTGTGGAAGAAGCTTTTGCAGTTTGATGTTTAATTCTATAACTTTATATTAAAGTTAAAATATTAAAGAGTCTGGTTCATGTTCTCGTGGAGGAACCAAAAACTGTGGATCATAGTTTTACAGAAACTTGGTTTGAACCCAGTTCGGTCAGGAGAGACGGGGCGCCCGGTGGCTCACCTGGTAGAGTGCAAACCGCTTCGGCTCAGTCCTTGCTGCAGCGGCACAGCGGCATGTGCAAAACGAGAGCAAAAGAGCTGTTGTTATTAAGTTGTTATTCTCTGGTATTGACTGACAGCTGGAAGATTTGAATTGGTCCAGATGTGGAAGTAGTATCTGGCAGTCGTGCTGTATATGGGCCAGACTCGGCCCGTGGAACCAGGTGTATACTGGGCCAGAAGAAAACAAGCATGGGGCCCATGTACGGGACAGATTTATTTTGCTATCTGGGATGTACCTATCCCTGTACAAATAAACAGTAAAATAATAATGATAAATTCTCAAAGATGAGTAAATCCAATAGCTGAAGTGGACAAGGATCTGGATCTGTTATTATGGTTTTTATATTTTTGTGCTGCAGCACTCACACCTCATCACCATGTGTGTCTGGAGAAGCTCCAGGAAGGTGGTGTGGTGGATTTGAACCCAGGACCTTGTTGCTGTGAGGTGACGGTGTGACCACCGCTGCACCAGCGTGCCGCCCGACACCCTCTCAGCTTGTTACACTCGTCCATATGCAGCCTGTTTACACGGTTTTACTCTCTGGGAGCAGAGCGACGGCTCGGCGTGTCGGCTGTTCAACTGTCACACTGAGTAAAAGTTTCCAGCCTGATGGGGCCGATATGGTGTTCGCCCTGAGTGAAGCACATGCAGATGTTTGCAGAGGTGCAGTGAGGAGGAAACGGAGCTGCAGAGCGATGTTTAAGGTTATTTCTGTCCCAACACAGAGATTTAATTACGTAGCTGCAGCAGAGAGGAGGTGAGAGGGGAAGAGTAAATGAGTTGGCTGATGGAAGTCATTCATTATCTACACACAACACACTGCAGGAGCATCGTCTGTGTGTGTGCGTGTGCGTGTGTGTCTGAGGTGAGTGTGTGTAATTAATGAACAGGAGCATCTGCTGTCATTACTCCACACACAGCCAAACACATGCTATTACACTGAACACACACACACACAAACACACACACACTGCTGTAGGTACAGACCAGGCTGTGTTTACAATAACTGAAACCAATAATTATTCTCTTAATATATTAATTCGATCGCTTTTTTCATGAACTGATCAATTGTTTTGTCTGTAGTAAGAAACTCCGATTTTAATCACAGAAGATTAAGCAGGTAAATCAGTTCATTCTCACATTTGAGAAGCTGGAAAAAATCACACACTTTAAAGTTTGATTCAGAGGAAACCGGTTCTTCAGACACGTTGACAGAAGGGAGAGAGAGCGGTTCTGCTTAGAACTCATAGAAGAGAATGACGGAGCAGATGGAGGAGATAGCTGAGAGATGTGAACAGGCCGATCTGTCTGTTCTATTTCTATCAGAGTACAGTCTGAGTCTGAGATCTGGAGACAACAGACAGGAAAAGATCCATTTCAAAAACAAACTTACAACATTTATCCCCACCCCACCCCTGCTGTTTCTCCCCCCCCTCCCTCCCCCGTCTCTCCCCAGTACTCCCAGTTATAATTACGCTCCAAACCCAGACAAGCACTGGATCATGCGTTACACCGGCCCCATGAAGCCCATCCACATGGAGTTCACCAACATGCTGCAGAGGAAACGGCTGCAGACGCTGCTGTCTGTGGACGACAGCATGGAGAAGGTGGAGGACACACACACACATACACACACACGCACGCACACACACACAAACCTGTGAATGTTGGAAGTATGGACCTTTGCCTCTTATAATTACCTACACAAAAATTTAAATAAATAAAAATATAATGGCAAAACAAAACATTTGCTCTCTTTTATAAAAAGTCAAAGTGTCTGTTATGACTCCATCCGTCTGTGTCTCAGCTGTACAACATGCTGGTGGAGACGGGCGAGCTGGAAAACACCTACATCATCTACACGTCTGATCACGGCTACCACATCGGACAGTTCGGCCTCGTCAAAGGTAAGAAACTAAAGAAAAAAGCAGACGAATCAGAAGAACAACGTACAGCAGTTTTTACTAAATGGTTTATAATGTATTAAAGAATCAGGCTGAGGTTGTTCTGTTTTATCCTATTCTATTGTTGGAGACATGTTAGAAATAACACGAAAAACTAAGTAAAATTCATTCTTTATTTTAACACAGAAACACATTAAGGTAGACGCCACATTTACAGTATAGCCAAGTAAAAAAAAGTCTTGTTTTTGAAAATAGTTTAACTTAACTTAATTAACTTTAATATGTTTTTGAATATGACCATAACCATGTGATCACAACAACCAAACCTTATGACTGTCTGCTGTCAGATAAACACAAAATATTTAATACCTCCAAAGTAATTACAAAACGTGTTATTAAAAAAATATATTTTCACCAGTCACAATAAAATGCGAACAGATTTTATTGTTAGTAATTATTAATGAATATTTACAGCTTAATATTAATCTTTACAACGTGGTCAACAGAGACTCTGATACTTCTTATGTTTAATTTTGTCTTCAGCATTAATAGTTATTATCATCAGATTTTTAACATTTCAAAAAATTTCTTCGATCCAGTTTATAATTTTATAATTGTATAATATTCTGCTGACGTCTGCCACAGTTTGTTTGAATCCCACATCAGTTTTTTTCCCTGTTTAAACCGAAATGTGTTTCCAAACCTAACATCAGAAGTTTATTTTAAATGTTTATTTTTCATCTTTGGTTAAGCTCATTGTATAATTATTATTATTATTATGCGTGTGTGTGTGTGTGTGTGTGTGTGTGTGTGTGTGTGTGTGTCTGTGTGTGTGTGTGTGTGTGTGTGTGTGTGTTTGTGTGTGTGTGCGTGCCTGCAGGTAAATCCATGCCGTACGAGTTCGACATCAGGGTCCCGTTCTACATCAGAGGACCTAACGTGGAGCAGGGCAGCATGTGAGCTCACACACCAACATTAAATTCATTAAACACAGACTCATCAGCAGCAACAGGTCACTTCAGCAAACAGCAGACAGACAGACACTGTCAGAGAGCAGCTAGTGAACATAGTGAAGAGCCAGATGGTGGAGACCAAACACAAAGCTAAAAGAGAGGGAGCGCTGGACAAACACCACAACACATGAATCACCATGTTGCTCTGTGACTGATGGATGTGGAAGCAGTTGATCACGTTGCCCATAATAAATTTGTGGGGTGAAAATATAATATGTCAGAGTTGTGGACTGCAGCTTTAAGAAACCAGATCAGTGACAATAAAAACACATCTGTGGATCAGAGAAGCAGCTGCAACAAATCACAGAGCAGAAACACCTGACCAACAGTTACTTCAGGGACTGTGACTGTGTGTGTGTGCGTGTGTGACTGTGTGCGTGTTTATTCCCGGTAAAGTAGATTACCACAGCCAGAGCTGTTGCACGAGGTGATCATGAGATCGCAGAGCTGTGTTGCTACACTGCACACATTATCAAAATATGAAATATTTAACACCCAGTTTTCACAATAAACTTCAGTGTAAACCTGCTGCCAGGCACCTGGTCTCATAACCTGACACTCTCCATGTGCTGCAGCTCTATTGGCTCATACGGCTTTAATTCATTAAATCACTTTCAAATGTTTAAACTATAATTATCACGGGTGTGTTTGTGGTGTGGTGTGAGTTTCTTTTTGTTTCTCACAGAGTTTGGAGACAAAGAGAAACTGGCTGGACAATAATTAATCATGAGGCCAGCGGAGCTGTAGATAAACAGTCCTGTTTATTTTGTGTGTGTGTGTGTGTCAGTAACCCTCACATGGTCCTGAACATCGATCTGGCTCCGACCATCCTGGACATCGCCGGCCTCGACACTCCTCCAGATATGGACGGGAAGTCAATATTGGCTCTACTGGACACTGACAGACCTGCCAACAGGTACACACACACACACACACACCGACATTAACACAAATTCATACGCACACACAGATAAGAACATTAGAAACCTATTTAGCCTTTAAGTTTTCCATACAACTGAAAAGTCAAACATTTAGAAAATAAAACAAACCATCATCAGCTCAGTTCTTTCACTGGTTTTACTGAAAGCAAATGATGGATGTACAGGTGTGATGTATCCATCTTTCCCATATTTTCATAAAGTTGTCCTATTGCAACCTAATATACAAAGTAATTCTATCCATCCTAAAGATTTCATAAATGAGGTCAATCCATTTGTCCACTGTAGGTGTTACTGGTTTCCTGGCAAGCGAATAACTTGAAGCCTGAGAAGGCGAAATCCAGCTGCCTCACAAGGTTATGAAAAATGAGAAACTTGCAAAATGGTCTCCATAGTCTCCATAGTCTCCAGAGATACTTGAACTCATTTAGTGAAATGATTCCGAAAAGCTAAAAGGTCTGCAAGGAATTTATAGTTGTGGAACATTAAAATGCTCAACAGGTAATATTAAAGTTCCTCATACTGATTTTTTTAAAATTGTAATTTAGGTCCTGTAACTTTCCTGAGTGGAGAAACATGTGGTTCTTTGAATGTTCTATGAAGGCTAGAAGAAACTTGCTTGAAAAAACACAAAAGAAGAAAGTTGCGCTTTAACTTGTAAAATAGGTTCTTTACTTTGTGCTACTTGGCTTGTTGAATTTACTTGTGAAGGGTTCGGGGTTACTTTTTGCGACATTACTCCAGTAAAAGAAGGGGGCGTCTCCCTCATGACAGAGTCCACAGAGTGATGTGATAAACAGCTTGTTGAAGACAAAGGTCAGAGGAGAAAAGAGACTCAGTGAAGCAAACAGGAAACACCACCCGTATGTAAATCATCCTGCTGCAGAGGGCTGGAGCAGCAGGCCGTCTCTCAGCTGTAACGACCTCATTTAAACACCTGGGTGCGCCGCAGCTCACAAACACAAAGAGCCATCTGCTTCGCCTGAAGGGATACATATTTTCTATTAATATTTATTATGATCAAAGTGTCAACAAAGGTAAAGGTCAGGAAGTCAGAGCAAACAAGGTAACGATTCAACGGGCCGCCAAACCCAGAACTTCTGCGAAAGGATTTTCACACCAGGACACGGTCAAAGTGTTTTTAAAGATTTATGTCTTCAGCAGGAACCAATGAGCTCAAAGCTCAGAGCCACAGACTGAGGAGGGAAATCAGAAAGAGTTGATAGGTGGGCTAACACATGGTTAGTTTGGTTGATTACACCAACATCATCCTTTATGGAACATTATATTTGACAAACTGTATTTTTTGAAGTGAGATGAATGACGAGACGCTGACAAGATGAAACTTGAATCGCAAAACCTGTGATTAAATCTCTGTCTAATCCATCCATTCGTCCATCCATCCATTTTCAATCGCTTAATCCGGGCGTCGGGTTGCAGTGGCAGCAGGCCAAGCAAGGTAGCCCAAACATCCCAGTGTTCCCAGGCCAGATGAGATATACTGTATAAGCAGTTGGACGTGCCTGGAAGACCTCCAAAGGAAGGCACTCAGGAGGCATCCTAACTAGAAGATCGACTAGTAAATCAAAAACTTCGCCTTCCGGCTGAGCTCCCTCTTCACCACAATGGTCCAGTACAACGCCAGCTTTACTGCTGACGCTGCCCTGATCCTCCTGATCCCCTGCTCCATCCTCCCCTTCCTCGTGAGCAAGACAGACTTGTATCTTAATATAATATCAATGATGAAAAAAAGAGGCAACTAAAATGTTTTTTAATTTCAACATAAAGTCACTGTATTGACAAACTGACAAAGACCTGCGGTTATGGTTGATTAACTGTGATTAGAAAAAACAGAAATCTGATACCAAGACAAAAAAATTATCTTTTCGTCAAATAAAACTAGACGATATTCACAGAAACTGACAAAGTTTAGTTAATTCTTGACCTTGTTAGTAACATTTTTTTTTTCACTTTGTTTGTTTGTGTTGTCAAACTTAAGTAAATGAAGCCAGACTTCCAGACAAAGTGTTCATGGTTTTATGAAGGCGAGATTTAAGTGAAGAGGAAGAAGAATTCAGTTCAGTAACTGGACTGTCTTAGTTTCTGTGCAGATAACTGATGCAGAGCTTTAAAGGAACAATTAGTATATAATTATTACATGTAATGAAGACATGATCCTACAGACTTAATGAAAAAAAAAGAGAGTAAATGACCGAATATTGATTAAAAAAGTAAGATTCTGATGTTTTCAGGAGCACAAAGGCTCAGAGATGAAGATCTTTAGGTTAAAGATGAAACAAGTTTCCTTCTACAGCCGAACAGACTCTGTGATGCCGTCGAGTCTGTGTGAACAAAGGTCTCACGCTGTGCCAACTTGGTCCTTTAGAACATGTTTGATCTAGGCGTCTTTTCAGGCTTTTATCACGTCGAGTTTAAACTCAAACACAAACTCTATGGAGCCGTGTCTCTCTCTTTAAACCCCAAACAAACTTTTAGATGCTGAGCTCTGAGCTCTGCAGAGTTCTGAAGTCTCTGTCAGGAGGATCCCTGCTTCCCGGCAGTTTGAACAAGTGTGAATCGACTCCTCGTTCTCTCAAGTGCAGCGAGGGACTGTACAGCATCTGTTCTCCTGAAGTACAGAGGAATTCTTCATCTTCATGGGGAACAGAGACAGCAGCTGAAGGACTGATTAGACTGAGCTGACATTTATTCAGAATAAGAACCAGGAAGGACAGAGGACTGATTCTGTTCAGAAAAACATGTGGATCAGATCTGGACTGAGGAGTATGAGCAGGAGCTCTAAAACTTTACACACAAAATCCTGTATCTGATCACAGTCATGTGTCATGTGAAGCTTTATTACTGATTAAACTACTGAAGAGTACGAGTAGTTAGTACTTGTTAAACCTAAAGCAGCTGCAGTGGTTCTCAAACTTTTTTACTAATTGGACCACAGACCCAGTGATAAGATTTTTGCTTTTAGATGTTTTATTACAGAAACAGTTTAAACCCATGACCACAATAGTCATACATTCTGTCACTGTGCTACTTATGGATGGAATTATAGTGAAAATAAATTATTCCCCTTTTTCCTGGGGAAACCCAGACACCCTGTCAAGAACCCCTGAGGGTCCCTGGACCCAACTTTAATTTAATGCATCAGTAGCAACAGTGTGAAAGCTGCATAATCAGCACTTTACTTTCTATATTTTAAGTACATTTTTCTGTTAATAGTTATGGACTTAAGTAATATTTTGGATGCAGGTCTTTTAGTTGTAATGTCGTGTTTTACATTGTATTATTGCTACATGTTGCATTTCTGAATCAAAAGGTGTCAGATTAAAGACTCAGAGGTAAAACGCACATATTGTTCCAACTTATTAAGACCGCTGCGACACATTTATCACTTTATTATCATCTTATATTCAGCTGCAGTGATTGGTTAATTAATCATTTAGTTGATCTACAGAATACTAATCACATTGATTGATGGTCCCAGCTTGTGACATGTCAGAGTCTGCAGCTTTTTCACGTCTGACATGATAAAAAACCTGAATGTGTTTTGGTTTTGGCGTCACCATAATCCAAATATTTGATCAATTAAGTCAGAGGATAATTGGTAATTTAATCGATAATTTAAATAATCGTTAGTTGCAGCTCAAAGTCCAGCTGAAGAAAAGCGACCTGAGAGGAAGTGACAGTCTCTCCTCAGAATCATTCAAACCTCATTTAGTTGTGTGGGTGAAAAAATACATACATTTTAATTACATTTATTTTATTTTCATTGTGTGTCAATCTTGGTTGCACTGACTAAATTCAACAATGTTTGTCTTTCCATGACAGTTTTAAAGTTTATTCTGCAGATCGATGAGTGGAAACGTCCAGCGGTCCACTGTTCCTCCCGCTGCTGCTGTTTTAGCTGCGGCAGGAAAATCTAAATATTATCCCTCATAGTTAAAGTCACAAACACCCCAGAATAGAAACCAGATGGAGACAGTCATTAAGGGAGGCAGTGCGTTATGAATACAATATAAATGTGTGTAATTTTTTATTTGAACTGAAGTGACCTCTGTACATGTGGCAGGAAGACAAGCCTGTTCATCATTTAGCTCATTTAGCTCTAAAACTAAACAGCTCTGTTTCCTGTTGTGTTCCTGGAGTTGATTCTAAACAGAAAAAGGTAAAAATAAAGAGAGGACGGACAGAGGTGGAGGTGGCGACAGTGTTGGTTGTTGCTAAAAAAAAAAAAAAAAAAAAAGGAATAATCACTGAACTTTCTGCTGTTTTCTTCTTCTTCTACAGGTTTCAAGTAAATAAGAAGCCGAAGGTGTGGAGAGACTCGTTTCTGGTGGAGAGAGGGTAAATACTCCATCATCACTTGATCGTCACTGATACAGCTGCTGTACTGCAACACATACTACAGTCATATAACATATAACTCTCACATAGTATCACTTATAGTAAATATCCTAACTAACTGACCATTAATAAGGTCAGTGCTTCACTGCCATGCAGGTGAAAGTAAACCCTCTCAGCCAATCAGTGAGCACATAAATCAAACTATAACCCAGTGGTTCCAGAACAATTCTAAACCTCCAGCTCTCTGTAATGTGTTATTTCTGTTTGTTTGTTTTTTTCATGGTTGCATGATTTCAATGGTTTTTTTTTCAAATGTTTGCAGAACTAATAGAAAAGACTAATGATGTGTCCCAAATCCAGACTACACATTAATTCTGAGCAGGTTTTTAGTCTGTGGGGTGGTCACAGGGAAAGTAACAAAACAAGGTTTACTGGAACCACACAGCGTCTGTAAATACTAAATATGGTTGGGTTTTTTTCTGTGCTATTGGTGGACACTGTTCTGTCACATTAACATACATGAATAATTAAATAAATAAATTGTTGTGAGGTCAGGTGAGTTTATCCAGATTACACCACTTTTCCTGGAGGTAAACCCTCACTGCACAGGGAGCTGAAGGAGACAGTCTCATCAGAGTGACCAGACTGACTGAGAGTTCAGGTCATAATTTTACATTTTACCTTTGTTTTATATTCTGAATAAGTTTGTTTCCAACCGGATCATGTGACTGCGCGTCTTCTTCTTTGTGACGTTGCCATGCTCACAGATCTCAGCTATTAACTCACTGAGCACAGTGTTATCACTGGTATATTACTGATAGGGACAAAACATGTTGTTTATTATGAAAATAAGTTGTAATAAGTCTTGTTGAGAAATAAACAGAAGGCCTTACAATGAGTGCAGCACACAACACCCAAAAAAAAAAAACCATACCAGAAACAGAACTGTCCAACCCGCCTGTGTTTGGTCCGTTACCAGGAAGCTGCTCCACCAGCGCGTCGAGGGAAAGGAAGTGTCACAGGAGGAGAACTTCCTGCCCAAACACCAACGAGTAAAAGACCTGTGTCAGAGAGCCGAGTACCAGACGCCCTGTCAGCAGACTGGACAGGTACAGTCACTTCCAGGTGTACTACTTTACTCCTGATGCTCCTACTCACACTTTACTTTAGGGACAACAGCAATTCACAATTTTCTCCCATGTGGGGTAACACAATGTTTACACCAGGAAAAGCAGACCCTAGATTCAGACTCTGGGCCCAGAAGGGTTTGCATAAGACCTCAGACCTTTATAGAGATAACAACATTATGTCCTTTGAAAATCTTAGAGAAAAATGTAGGATCCCACAAGCTCATTTGTTCAAATATTTCCAGATAAGAAGTTTAATTCGCTCTAGGACTCTAGGTCAGATCAATGTCCAGCTTTCAGTATTATTGAGGGACTGGCAACATCAGACCCCTGTGCTAAAGGAAGGATCTCAATAATTTATTGGAAATTACTAAGTGTGTCTACAGAATCCTCAAATTATAAAGGAATGGTACGGATAGAGGTTCTTCAGACAGATTTTACAGAATAAGAATGGGCAAAGGCTCGTCTTCAAGCACAAAAGTCATCTATTAATAGCAGATCTAAATTGATCCAATATGATTGGCTTATGAGGTCGTACGTGACTCCAGAAAAGAAAAAATATCTCAGACAGTTGTATAAAATGTAGAACAGAGAAAGGTACACAGTTCCACTGCATGTGGAGGTGCAAATATAAATAGGATTTTTCGAAAGAAATAATTGACACAATTTCCAACACAATTCACAAAAGGATTCCTGTACTCCCGGAGATTGTGGACCATCTTGATGTACAATGTTCAAAATCAATAAAGATAAGTGACAACAACAACGACAACAACAACTTTACTTTCACACAGTTTTCCAACGTTAAAAAAGGCACATTGTAGCCGAGATTTTCCTACACAGACTTTTGTTTTTGCAGAATAAAAAGCTTTTTTTGGACTAAATGTAGGAAAAGTTCGACGGCTGCTGCTGTGGTAAACAAACAGAGACTTAAAGGAAACAGAGTAGAACATTGGAGACTTCTGTCAGAGAGATGAAAACCAGATGACATCTCCACAAACCAGATACAATAACAGCAGTAATGACACATAGAGAACAGAACACAATGGACCGAACGCCGGCGAATCACAGAGAACAGACGGGGAGAGAATCAAGATGGAGCCACATAATAGAAACTCTCTCACAGACATATAGAGAGTTGTGTGTGTGTGTGTGTGTGTGTGTGTGTGTGTGTGTGTGTGTGTGTGTGTGTGTGTGTGTGTGTGTGTGTGTGTGTGTGAGTTCATGCTTGTTTGAGGTTAATTACACTTGTTGAAAAATCCCTTTAGCCAGTTGATTAGTCTCTTAGCAACAGAGTCTGTCGGCTGCTGGATCGCTCTGATAAACAGCCTGTAGAAAACCGTGTGTGTGTGTGTGTAATTAACAATTTGCACATTTGTCACTGTTAAATAACAGCGAGTGACTAAGTGCAACAGTAGAAATTCATTCAGCTCCTGCTAATGAACAACTGCACAGTGACAACACAACACAACAACAACACCTGTAGCCTCCCACAATTAAACCAAACCATCAGTGCTGAACTGAGAGCTGATTGGCTGTTGGGTGGATGCTCCTTTCTACAGATGTTATAACACTTTCATCAGTTTCTCAGGAAGTGATGTTTGTATCTTGATTTAAATAGTCAGACATATTGATGGTGTTGAGATCTATGAGTTTTAAAAGTTTGGTGCCGATCCAGATGATGATCCAGATCCAGATAATAATCTGGATCTGGATCAGACAGACCTGTGTTAGATTGATTGGCCTTGGCAGAGGTATGTGCTCTGAATACCAGTCTTGTTGTTTGTTGTTTGTTTTTTTGCTTGTTTTTTCCAATGATGTGGTTCACTTCCTGATTGTTGTTGGAAATGTTCAGACGTTGTCACGGCGATTTGCACTCGAGGCTCCGCCTGCTGAACGAGGCTCTGCTCTTTGACTGAGGGACAAAGAACAGAGCCACTCTGATTCCTTCAGACTTATTCTGGAGATGTTTTAACAACACAGCTGAAGTGTGAGTCAGCTGTGTGACTGTGTAACTGAAAGTCACAGCTGCAGCTGAAAATGTGATTTTTATTTACAGTTACATAACAGGTCAGACTTTGGCATTTAGCTATGACAGTTGTGTGGTGACGTTAATGAGGTATCTTTGTATCAGAAAACATGACACCAACACACAGACACACAAACATCTGTGTTTAAAATCCTGGACTCCAGCAGGTTTTTATTACTGGGAACTGGGAGGAGGATTTTGTACAGTGCACTGTGGAGAGAAAACCATTAATCCCAAAAATGTCAGCTATTTATTATACCAGTCATGACTGCTGAGTTCTCTGGTTTGATTTAAAGAGGATAAAAAAGACGTTTGTTCATCTTATTTGACTTTATTCAGTTTTTTTTTCAACTTCCCTCTTTCCCATTTGGAGGTTATTTGACTTTTTATAATGAAAATCAGGAAAAATATATTCATAATTTGGCATCATTACACTCAGATTTACCTATGAATTAGCCTGCTGATTGACATGAAATCAATGTGTGTGTGTGTGTGTGTGTGTGTGTGTGTAGAAGTGGCAGTGTGTGGAGGACGCCACAGGTAAACTACGACTCTTCAAATGTAAGAATGAAGGGGGAGGGGCAAAGAACTTCCAGAGGGGCGTGGCCGGTCACCAGCATCCTATCAGCATCAAGTCCCAGTTGTACCATCGCAACTCAGACGGCTGTGACTGCGACCTACGCGACCTACGACCTCTGAACCTGCGGCCCACCATGATGAGGCCGTTCAACAAGAAGCCGTTCTTCTCCAAGAAGAGTGAGTGTTACTGGTTCAGTTCAGCAGGGGGCAGCAGGGACAAAAGACGTGAATGTATCAGATTTATTTTAAAGCAGATGTTGATGTTTCACAGCAGGAAAAGCTCCCAATGTGATTGATGATTAATTATTATTGTATCTGATAAATTTATAATAGATAATTGTAATTTCTTGGACAAAGTTGGTTCTTAATTTGATCTTGTTATTTTGAACCTGTGTTTTTCTCTGATTGGTGGAGTGATTTTCTACGGAAGCCGTGAAAGGCAAGTGAAAAAAGTTTTTGGGGAAAAAAAGAAAAAAGAAAAAAAAGAAGAAGAAAGAAAATAAGAAAAATAAAGAATAAGAGAGTTTAAGTGGAAAAAAAAGTCAAAAAACCCATGTTTCAAAGCAGGGGAGTCAGTCTGCTCCACTGGTTTACTGTGTGATGCTGCCCTCTAGTGTCAGAGGTCAGAACTACATCAACTAGGTGCTGATGGAAATATGAGAGGTTCAGTGTCAGTGAGGAAACTTCTGTTTCTCATTCACAGGAAACAGAAGCAGTGACACACAGTAAAGTGTTTGTTGTGTCAATCAGTGATGATGGTGTGTTGTTGCTGAGCTACTGTCTGTCTGTGTGTGTGTGTGTGTGTGTGTGTGTGTGTGTGTGTGTGTGTGTGTGTGTGTGTGTGTGTTTGTGTGTGTGTGTGCGTGCGCGCGCTTGCGTGCGTGCGTGCGTGCGTGTGCATGCGTCTCACAGAGTTCAAAGCCCTGAAGAGTTACTCCAGAAACCGGTACAGCCGCTCCACATCCATGATGAACAGTTACCCCGGTAACCACAGCCTGGTGGGCATGCCTGACGAGTCCGAGGACGAGTTCAGCGGGATGGGAGGAGCTCCCAGTGTCGTGGCCCCACCCAACTCTATCAAAGTCACACACAGGTGGGTTATGCTTGTATGTGTGTGTGTGTGTGTGTGTGTGTGTGTGTGTGTGTGTGTGTGTGTGTGTGTGTGTGTGTGTGTATGTGTGTGTGTGTGCTAATCACCTCCTGTTATTCAGATTCATAGTTAACTGTTCGATCATATTTTATTTAAATAAAAAAAATTTCAAGGGAATTATATCTCAACTCAGTTAAATAAAACTGTCTCCAGAACATTCGTTTCCTTATTGTTCCCCATCTCTCTCTCTATCCCTTCTTTACCTGTTATCTATCTACTGATGGCTATAAAATTAAATATACAGACAGAGAAAAACATATAAAGGACACAACTGCAGCGTCTT